GCCCCTTGGGGGGGGGGGGGGGGGGAGGGGGGTTACAAAAGCCAAATAACATGGGTGGGCACATGGTAAAGACGATTAATCTTGTTGCTTTTTATCACATCCTTTAACTGTAAAAAGAGATTTGAAGAAAAACATGTTGAGAGCTAATGCTTTTTTTTTTAATCTCCAGCAAATTACAGCTTATAAAATTCCATGTTTTTAAAGTCAAATGCTGACACTTGTGTCTAAGTGATTTTAAAAAAATATAATCTACTATTAAATAACTGAATTTAGCAACAAACAAATTTTGTTGCTAAACATGAAAATTCGTTGCTAATTCTACTTAACGATGAATTAGAACAAAATAGTGATGGACCAGCAACAAAGTTTGTGATTAATTCTAGTGTTCGTAATTTGACTAGTTGAATTAACTCTTTTTTCAAAAAGATTAAAGTTTTGAAAATCGTAATTAACGCATGGAAAAAGGAAAGATGTAATACAAAAGTAAAAAGAAAAACAAAAGAGAATTAATGGCATCCAAAACAATAATTGTTATAAATTAAGTGATGATCTGAATTAAATTTCATAATGAAAAACCTTATTTACTCCTTAATGTTGTGTATATAAACTAATTACCGTAAAATATTTACCCATCAAATGTTTAAACCAAATAAAAAAATTTAACCAATTAGCCGTTAAAATTAAAATGAACATAGATGGAGTATCACTTGAATATATATAGTTAATTGATAAATGACGGTATAAAATAAAGTAAAGCAATGTTGCAGGAAAGTTGATAATGATTATGATCATGTATTTAAGAGCCCAAATCATTTAGAATTGAGAGTAATTTTCAAATTAGTACATTCTATTTTATTTTAAATTTTATATTGATTTGATGTAAACACAGAGTGCGAGTAAGTTTTACCTTTGATTCGATAGAGTAAATAAAATTAGAATAACAATACGAACTACCTGAATACTGGAGATTTCGTCACATTCTTTATCATCGAGTCGATATTCATGCATTACCCAATCAGTTCTAATCCCCTGCGGCGCTCTTCCTCTGTAATAAACCAACGTCTTCTTCATCCCAATAGCGCGATTCTGTGACGTCACTCTCCGATCTTTCCCCGTAGATTTCCAGTATCCTGCTCGAGTTGCTCTATTCGTTCTGAATCCGTTTGGATATTTTCTATCCCTTGGACCGAAAAAGTACCATTCCGGATCTCTACTCGGCAAAAACGATTTCTCTGTTTCATACATTGAAAATATATGAGTAATTCAGTAAATTGAAAACGGAGAATATGAATTAATCGATTAAGATGAAGAAATTGAATTGAACCTGCTAATTCCCAAGGTTCACATTTGTAGAGATCAACTTCAGGAATAATATCAAGTTCAATTTCCTGGCCATGGATTTTTCTTTTGAGATAATAATTGACGAGTTCTTCATCGGTGGGATGAAATCTGAAACCAGGAGGTAGTCCGACGGGTGCCATTTATACGATTGATTGATTGATTGATCGATCGATCGATCTCTGCAAGTAAGTAATTAAGCTCCCGGAGAGTGCAGCTTGCTAGCGTATGTATTGAATAAGGAGGGAGATGAACAATAACATTTGGGTGTATATATATAAAAGGGATTCAAAGTTGCTTGTCTTTGAGTCATTTATCACTTTATTCTCTTTAACAGATTCTCATAAAACGTTTCTCTCAAGCACTACGTACTGTCTTCTTGCATACTACTAGTTGGTTACGTTTTTTTTCCCAATAATAATAACAATAACAATACTCTACTTATAATTAGTTCTCTATACTCTAACATCTCTTTTTGTCACAATAATATACACTGTCTATATAGTAAGTTGCAAGATGAAGTCAGAATTTTAATTTTATGGGTTCTGAATTTTATAATGATATCAAGTATTAATAATTGAATTTTAAACATAATTTATATATACAATAAAGATTACTGGTTCAATCAAACTCGTACTTGAACTTCTAACTCTGCTCCAGGCTGCAAGAGAGGCAAGCCATCACCCTTGCTTTCTCTCGTGAAAAGTTAGTTACGCAATGAGAAACATGAAAGGACGTTGTTTACATTGCCTGATCACTCTTTTTCTTCCCTTTTGTATGCTCATGAAAAACAACTCTAATTTAGAGTACTTAATCATCTATCATAATCTTTGATAGTTGTTGATCACTCTAATATGAAAGTACAACTTATAAGAACTTTTATGATCAAAAGCAAATTCAGGATTTCAAGACGATGAGAGCACCACAAAAAATAGATGTACATTAATTAAAGCATGTCATGCAGTAATGTTTCATCCAATACACTAACATATAAATATGAATTAAATAAGCCTAGCTAATTGGTAAAGCTTACTCTGTGGGGGGAAGGTTGTGAAAACCATTTTGTGCCTATGAGGTCACATGTTCGATACTTGCAATTTTTGTATGCTTATTTTGTCAGCTAAAAACGAAAAAAACACACCAAGAAAAGCAAAAAACGAGATTCACACCCAAGTCGAGAAGAAGAGCTAAACAGGGATTTCAACTAGTACACCCAACTTGCTTTTGTGTGTTAGGATGCCTAATTAAATATATGTTCACATTTCAATGTATATATATATATAATTTTTTTGTGAAGTTAATGGATGTATGTGACCCTCCCCCTCCTTATCACCACGTGGGTTCTCACCTTTATTTATGATTATAGCATTTTTTTTTCGTTCTATCGATAGAATTAGAAATCCTTATGGTTAATACTAACATTTTTCGGCTCGATTTTTAATTTTAGTCTTTAATTTGACTAAACATATTTATTAAGATTTGACTAAACCCAATTTTTAGTTGTGTTGAACTAATCCAAAACTTGAATGTGTTATTTAACTTGTCCAACTTAAATGAATTAGATGAATCATTTTTCCAAGTCTAATTTTGTAAACCCCAACCTACCACTATTAATCACCAAGTTAAAGTTAAAGTACTCGCGATATTTGACGGCAAAATTTGGTAGTATAGATTGAAAATACAAAGTTAAATGCTATTACTAATTATTTTTACACAAAAGTTTGAGATAATGTGCCAAAATATAAAAATATTAGATGAAGCACGAATCGGCACTCAAAGGACTAATCTTTGGAGTAAAAATGCTTCTACGACAAAATTGGAATAATTAAACACTTTAAAAAAAAATTAGTATATCTTAAGACATAAATTTTAGGGGAAAAAATCTTCATATTTAATGTTTTCTTAAGAAACGTATAAAAGATAAATCTAACATAGTATAATTTAAAAAAGGGAAAAGGCTCAAATATGCCATCGAACTTTTAGAAAAGGCTCATTTATGCCATCCGTTAAAAGTTTGGCTCATCTATGCCATTACCGTTTAAGAAAAGGCTCATTCATGCCATTATTTTTTAACGGTGGTTTTGCAAAACCATTTTTTACACGTGGCCAATTATAATTCGGCCACGTCATTATTTTTTTATAATAAAAAATAAAAATTCTGAAAAAAATAATGACGTGGCCGAATTATAATTGGCCACGTGTAAAAAATGGTTTTGCAAAACCACCGTTAAAAAATAATGGCATGAATGAGCCTTTTCTTAAACGGTAATGGCATAGATGAGCCAAACTTTTAACGGATGGCATAAATGAGCCTTTTCTAAAAGTTCGATGGCATATTTGAGCCTTTTCCCTTAATAAAATAATTAAAGACGGACGTATATAAGAATAGAAAAATCTAAAAAAGAAGTTAGTTAGTTAGTTCAAGGCAGTGTTATTTTCATGATGCTTCCCTCGAGAACTGCGCTTTTCTCTCTCTTCATTCTCTCTCTCTTAACCGGAATCCTCCCTTCCACCGCCGTGCCAGACACCGGCGGCACTACTACCATCGGCTTCACCTACTCCGCCGCCGTGGACAACTCTCCACCGCCTGAGCATGTCGTTACAGCACTTCAATCTCTCAATATCCCCGCCGTACGCCTCCTTAATCCGAGTCCAACTTTAATCCGAGCATTTTCCTACTCCAATATCTCCCTGCTACTCACCGTCCCAAATTACCTCGTCGGAGCCTTCGCTGCCAATCGCTCAGCTGCTACTCTTTGGGTTTATAACAATGTACTTCCGTTTCATCCTCGTGCTCGGATTTCACTCATTTCAGTTGGTTCCGACGTTATCTCTTCCACCGGCGGTCCCGGAATTTCCGATCCTTCCACTGCCTTAGTCCCTGCTATGCAAAACTTACACCACGCGCTTATTGATTTGGGAATCCGTACTGTTTCAGTTTCTACTACTTTCTCCTTCATCAACGTGATTACAACGGCGTTTCCTCCGTCTTCAGCTGAGTTCCAAGAGCCTGTTAACTCGCTTGTTATCAGACCAGTACTTGAGTTTTTGGAGGAAACGAATTCATCTCTGTTAATGAATGTGTATCCGTACAATGTGTATCGACTCCATGGAGAGATTCCGATTAGTTTCGCTTTGTTCCAGGAAGGTCCATTTAACTTCCGTGATGATGTTGTTACAGGTGTTCGGTATCATAATCTGTTTGATATGATGGTTGATGCTGTAATTGCTGCAATGGCGGTTTCAGGCTACGAGAATGTTCCCCTGATTTTGACGGAAACAGGGTGGCCAAGTAATGATGAGCACATGAATGCAGAGGAGAGTCAGATGTACGCTGAGAAATACTTACAAGGACTGATTCTTGAGCCTTTTCCCTTTAAAAAAAATAGTAAGTACTATAGTTAAGTATAATTCATTTTTTTTAGGTGATCTGGTTTACAAAATAACCAATAAGAATATACATTTTGTATATTTAAGTATAGTATACATAATAAATATATAGATTTTATATATTTTGACTACTATATTGATAAATAATTTCGTATATCTTACTCAATAAGTTTAACCAAAAAAAATTGATTTATGGCGATAGTTCTCTTTAATTGGTTAGCATTCTCTGGCTTAAAATGCTTAGCTAGGGTATTTAATTACCTAATTAATTAATTGACTACATTATCAATAGGTGCATAGAGGAGGTCCTCATGCTATAATGTCTCCTTTTCCTTTGTTATAGCCTATTTTTTTTATGACCAAATCTTGTGGCTTTCGTGTTCAAGACGTCCTTCTTAATTAAGCACGTACAATTTATTTGTACCATTTAATTTCCCTAAATTAAATTGTTATATATTGAGAGTAAAAAAAAAGATTTACTTAAGTTTAATGTGTTTTTATTATTTTATAATGAGTTATTATTTTTATTCTAACAGTTAGCCCCCCATTTTAATATTCTTATTTTTTTTTCTTGCTCATGTCATGTATACCTGATCTCCTTTCCTTCTGTAATAAAAACACATTTTTCTTTTTTTAGAGATACACGATAATATAAAATATTCGATTTTTTCTTGCTGAGTTTTCTGCTTTAAATTAATTCTTTGTTGTTTCTATTTCTAGTTTATATAATATTAGAATAATTTGTTAAATCTTGGAGAATATATCTATTGGTGAAATGTTCTTAAGAATAATGTCATCAACCATAAAAAATACACATCAAGCTTGAAATAAATTTTGTGATTATGGATGTGGTTGTTTGGTATGTAAATAAAAAATATTATTTTAAAATATTTGTATATAATTTAGGCAAACAATATGGGAGGTGAGTATATATGGAGCGGGGGTGAAAATATGGTGTATAGAGATTATATATAATCAATGTGGAATGAGATATTGAACTAGTTTTCCCTATTTAATCTCACTAGGCAAGTCATTTCCTCAGTTTTAAGAAACTCGTTTTTCTAAGAAAAGATTTTTCGATTTTTTTACCAAACGAACATGAGAAAATAAAAATAAAAATAAAAAATTCCTCCTTTCCAAACACACCCTAGCTATATTCCAATAATTTTCAAACATTTCTATGTGCATATATAATACATATTCCTTGTGAAGTAAGTTGTCCATTGAAGATACAACAAAAATTTCCACGTGTACTTCTATTCTAGTACATATCTTAAGGTAGTTCAAGTGGAGTTTTCCAATACAAAAATAATTAGTTGAATCCAAAATCTCCATATTTTCCATTAGGGACATTCTGATATGAAATTCCTGTATTGTTATCCTGAGAAGGTATTAGTTAGGAATTAGTTGGGATATCACTTTCTCCTAATTTCTAATAAATGCCCAATCGTGGACATTTTTTTTTTATATATATTTGACAATATTGCACTGGATGGTGTGAACTAGTAATCAATATAATGAGTTGCAGGTCATGAAGTCTCTGATTCAAATTTCAGTGGAGATAAAAATATTGTAGATGATTATTTTTCCATATATCCAAATTTTGATATATATTCGCCTTGAGAAAAAATCACGTCCATTAAGATATTAATAAATATAATATATAGTTTACTACACTATCCCTATTTAATAAATGTCTCTTGAAAATGAAATACTATAAAGAAGATGGAATATAAGAGTATAGTTGGAAAAACATACTCCCTCCATCCCATTTTAATTATATGAGTTAGTTTGACTAGAAATCATTTCATTAAGGTAAAATGACATTTTAAAGTCAAATTGTTACTTCATATAGAAATGTGTCATTCTTTTTGGGACTGACTAAAAAAAGAAAATAAGTCATATAAACTAGGACATTGCTACTTCATATAGAAATGTGTCATTCTTTTTGGGACTGACTAAAAAAAGTCATATAAACTATTACTTCATATAGAGATGTGTCATTCTTTTTTGGATTGACTAAAAAAGAAAATAAGTCATATAAACTAGGACATTGCTACTTCATATAGAAATGTGTCATCATTTTTGGGACTGACTAAAAAAAGAAAATAAGTCATATAAACTATTACTTCATATAGAAATGTGTCATTCTTTTTTTGGATTGACTAAAAAAAAAATAAGTCATATAAACTAGGACATATGGAGTATTAATTTTTTATCTTGAATTCCTAAAGTGATACTTATTTTGAGACAGTTTTACATTAGCAGCCTAATAGATAGCTCGTGAAATTAATAGATGTGTGCGCAAATTGGCCTAACATAATGTGTTGAAATATAATTTTGAAAAATTTGAAGTGTTACTTTCTGAATGCCCCACAAGTTGTAGGAGCAAGTAGCATTCAATTGTGTAATGGTCAAGTGCCATCTTAAACCTGAGAATAAAGCTGCCTATCGACACCCTTGGGCCTAAAAAGGGACTGCCTTGTTCACACAAGCATTTAATAATGGATCTACCAACAAGTTTAATCTCACTATAATGACATTTTAGATCTGTTTTCCTATGCTTTTTTATATACAATTTTCTACCACAAAGGCAAGTAGAACAGTTGGGAATTGAGTCACCCCACCCCCCATCCCTCATATATATATAAGGGGTCATTGTTTTGGCCCCCACATTTCTGGACTTTCAACTCTTGGACAAGATGGTCTTTATTCTCCCACGTTGGACCACAATCTTGAATACAATATACATTTACAGAAAATAGAAATGTAAAAAAAGAATATTCAATAAGACTGAGAAATTGAAATTCTGTTATGTAGAAAAAGAAAATAAAATTCAAACATACTTGCATTAGATTGATAAAATAAAGTTCCAAGTACAGAAGTCAATACCCGAACCATACAATTGTCTTAACATAGTAACAATTGTAAAAACACTTCTTATAAAAGACGATTCTTGTATGGTGCGTTCTTGACTCCTCTTTTAAGCAAAATGAAATTCGAAGAAAAGAAAACGAACCCCACAATTCAAATATGCTAACCAAA